GCCACTGGTCCATTTAATTTTTAATTCAAACCTTGTTTTCTGAGGTGTCAAACCACACATTCATCACTCTTATTCACCATTCTGATACTCCCACCCCTTCCCCCAAGGTACTCTTGCAGAATAAGTGTTAGTTACCAACCAGTCCATCTCACAGCTGATCACTGCACAAAGATCTCTGGGCCAAGTAGATGTGGACAAAAGCTTCAGCAGTTTGCAGACCTCAGCATTTTTATGAAGTGATTTTTCTCATTCCTATGCTCTGGGCAGTCAGAAGTTGAGCATCTCAAAATTCCTTACTATGTACGGATGAGAATTTCTCAAGTGGGGAAAAGTGGTGCAGCGGGTGAGAACTGGCTCCTGAAAGGAAAACCTTCCTTATTTTCACCCTTGGAAAAAAAAAGGGCACAAATGCATCTCTCCTCCCCCTTCCCCTCCCTGCTGCCCTTATAGCATGTAGGGGCTGGGGGGGGGTCGGGGCATTCCAGCAGCTGCTGGCCAGTATCCTGGAAACTGCCTCCTTTTTCCCAGTCCCAGCCCCTTTTATGAAGGAGACAATGAGGACATACAGTGAGTGCCTTGTGCATCACTTGGGCCCCCAGGCCCTTTGACTCAGGGATTTTATACAGTGGCTCACCACCTCCCCATCCTCCCCGATGTGCCCCCACACCCAAACCAGGGGGCTTCAGCCTCCCCTTTTCCTGGATTAGCCAGAAAGAAATTACATGCCTTATTTTCCCAAGGGCTCGAGAGAAATATGTGTAATGTGATACCAGGGAAATAATTCAGATGATTCTAGAATTTGCCCATGGATGCCTTTTGGTTTGTTTACCCAAGCCTCTTCTTACCATTTCTCTCCTTCTTTCTTCCACCCACTCCCTTGCCCACCTCTCCCCAAGAGTCCCATGCATTTCTCTCTTCATCGTGTTTTTCTCTGGCCCCTCCACAGCATAGGGAAGGCTGCTTCCTGCTCCAGATAAGAAGTGGTTTCCATGAAAAGTTTGGTTTGGCTTTCTCTGCTTCTTGTGTCTTGATCCAGAGGCACAAGCCCAGTCAGAGGATTTGGAGGACTTTGGCATTACAATATCCTAGTGTCCTCCTTTGCATGCTCTCAGTGAGGAGAGCCCATTTTTGGGCTGAAGGTACAAGCCAGCTCTTTGTAGCTCAAGGCCTCTGTTGAACAGTGATGCAGGTGTGAGTCAGGGTTCACTCACATCACAGGGAATTTGGGTTCAGGCTTATTAATTCATCTGAAGAATGGCTTCCCAGTTTCCAAGACATCATTCCAATATTTGCTGTATCAGTTCCACTGAGGCCTCTCCTAGGAAGATCTGAAAATCTGTGAATTAGCCCGAGGTAGGTAAATGGGAGGTGAATTTATCATTTATTATTCCTTGCTGCTGTTAAAGGTACACTCCATATCTGACTCCATATAATGCAAATTGCTGCACATGCTTCCTCCAACCATGGTAATTGAGGCAGACTGGGGCTGGTTTACAGAATATCTCCACAAAATAAACTTCTATCCTTTCCAGATTACTTCATAAGAGGCGGCATTGGGTTTCTTATGCCCCTGTAATCATGTCAGAGCTGAGACAGAAAGCAAAAGTTCTGTTTGTCTGATATCTTTCCACCCAGAAAATACATCCTTTTCCAGAGCATGCAGCTTCTTACTCAGAAAGAGAGAGGGGTTCAAGGCAAGCTACTTCCCTGCAAGCCAGGGCAGACCTTTGGCTGTTTATCACGGTGCTTCCTCCCTCCCAGTCCGTGGGGCCACATTTAAATGGATTGCCTAGCTCTACAAATCCCACCCAGGAACTGCTCTTGAGCGTGGCCCTGCAGTTTTCTTCAGTCAAAACATGTTTTCGTGCTAATTCACTGAGATCACAGCAACCGCACCAGCCCATCCACACCCTGCCTAGCCAAATTACAGCTCTGTGTTCTGCTGAGCTGAACATCTGACATGCTTTAAAATAAAGGGGTGGCCAGCCAGGCAGTGGTCAGTGCTGCAGACTGCCTGGGAGAGGCAGTGGGTCTGTGTGGCAAGTGGCTTGTCCAGTGTCCCAAGCTGGGGACCTTGAGCCCTCCTGGGGCCGTGAGCTGCTCCTCTCATCACTGGAAGCTGCTGTGTTGAAGGTGAGTGGGGACACTTCCGAGGTTCCCAGAAAATTTTTGGACTGGTCTTCTGGGCACAGCTCCTCTGCTGCACTACAAGCTGCCTAGATAACTCTGCAGCAGTCAGGTCCTAGACAGAGGTCTGGGAGAGACTTGCTCAGGTGGTTTTGGGGCAGAGAGCATCCACAAATGTCTTGTACAGCCATGAGACTTCCAGAAACATCCATCTCTCTTTCTCATGCATCCCCACCACAGCAGCATGGTCCTTCTTTCCTGTCTCATGTCCACTGTAAAGACTACAAGCCATTTCAGACATTGTGCAGAACTGACCACAAGGGCCTCACTTTTGCAAGACATATGATGCTTCCACAACATCAGCAATGATTCCAGCTTGCTTAAAAATTGAGGGGCTCCAGGAGGATGCTAAGGACATTTTTCATTTCAGTGTGATAGCCTCTACTGCCCGGGGGCTCCAAAACTCCAGGTAGAAATTGAAAGCATCACTCCATCCATTTCAGAGATGTTTTAGTAAGAAATGTTTTATTCTTACCCTGGGCTGTGTCAAATGATGGACGGACCAAAATATTTGGCTGCAAATTGCTTAGCACCCGTAGCCTTTAGGGACACTCAGAGCAGATTAAGCTTCCTGGGGGCTGTCTTAGAAAGAATCTGATATATTATGCCTTTAAAGGAAAGTTCTAGGGACATGGGATGAGACAACCTGTGTGGAAAGTGGGATAGAACAGAGAGGTCACGCTCTCTAAGCTGAGGTCCCTTGCACTATTCAAACAACTCCTAACACTGGATGCACCCTCTGTGTGACCATCCATAAGCCCAGCCAGGACTGCAGAGAGGATAAGGATGATTTTGTAACTGCATGGAGGCTAATTTCCTGGACCAGGCAGTGGAAGCCTCTTTGCTGCCTCTGTACCAGGCTGAGGACTGTGGTAATTGCACTTCATTACAAGCTGAAGCAAAGCATCACCAAGGAGTTTGCAAGCAGCTGGTCAACAAAGAAGAGAGGCCATAGAGGGAGGAAGTGTGTTTCATAAATGTGGGTAAGGAATATTTATTATGAGCATGCTGGGAATATAAACAAACTTGTACCAGGGAATAGTGTGCCTCAAATTTCAGACCAGTTCCTGTGAGCCCTCTGACAGCTTATTGCACTTTTTAAGAAGTCACTGGTTCCAGCAATCTCCCTGATGTTTAGGAGCGAGGAATGTTGCCAGACCCTCTTGAGCCATGCCTCCAGAAATTTAATGGAATTATTAAGTGCATTTAGAGTTCCTGTTTATTGTTAGAGGCGTGATGTCTTAGCTTGTCTGCTGAGTTGTTTTTTTCATGCAATGCTCACAAATTCAAAAAAAAGAAGGAAAAATGGCCAGAGATCTGGTTTTTTATACTAAACAGGGGTTGTTTGAGTCACCTGGTCTTGGTTACACCTGGCTGCTACACAGTCCCTCACCTATGCAGAAGTCTTATTTGCACCACACTGATGGATGGGCTGTCTGGGAAGGGAAGTGTGATACAGCATTCAGATGTCCTTATTAGAATTAAGCAGAAAGCTTTTGACATTTTTAATGTATTTTCTATTATAATGAAAAATTTTTACTTCATTTTGAGCCAGAATGACAAAACAACTTTTTCAGCCTTTTCATTTACACGTCACATTTCTGGGGGAGGGGAGCATTCAGCTATAAACCAGTGTGTTTCAGCCATGGGGAAAATTGCCTTCCTACTGTCTCTCCTTTTTTATTGGAACAAATAGACACATAGTAAAAATGTGAGCCAGCTTTTTTTTTTTTCCTTATACTATAAAATAGGGAGCAAAGCCGGCTTCCCCTCATTTTCCTTTACTTCTTTATGCTGTCCTGCCTTTGCCAATTGGAAACAGAACTCAGAGTTACTTTGTCTCTGGAAACAGCTCTTGCAGGACTAAACTGTTTTCAATGCTTTCCAAACTGAAGAGCCCTTTGGAGCCTACATGGCCTTCTGAAAGTTTATAAGGGATGAGGACTGACAAAATAAATTAATATTTTCTTCTGTCAAGTTTGTTTGGTGAGAGGGAGAACTGGGGAGAAATATTCACAGGGAAGTTTATACTGGCAATTTCCCCACTGACCAATCAATATAAAGGGCATTATATACAAATACGAATACAAAAAGCTAAAATTGCCTGTCCTTTCCCTCTGTTTTCTTCTCCAGCACTACTGTCAGCCTTCCCCTCACATGAACAACCTACTACAAGTGCCTTGTTGTCTGCATAGTGTGAGGAGATAGTAACAGAGGTGGTGGAAGGTGTATGTTCTTCTCACAGCAGTGTTCATCCCCAGAGCAAACACAGATTCTCAGCTCTGGAGAGATCCTTCATCAGTGACGCTGTAGAGATGCAGATACAGTTTCCCAAATTCAATAGCCAAAAAACAGAAGTGGAAAGCAGCTCTGGAGTGAGAGAGCATGAGAACAGGCTTCACAAGTACTTCAGCTGGGATGATAAAGCTCCTTGCTCAACATCAGAAGTTCCTGATGCTGTGCCATATGCTGCTCTCCTTTTACAGAATAAAGATTGAGTATTAAATGAGATATAGCAAAGAATCACTGATTAGAGTTCTTCTCTGGAAAAGATTAGGAGAACATTTGGTTTTCAGTTTGAAAATTAAATGAAAAAGTAACAAGCCTTGAAGGAACTTTCCAATGTGGTTTTCATCTGCCTTGGCAGGTTTCTCCTGGAGAACAGAAAGCTAAAAGAAGATAGGAATTAGAAAAACATGCTGTGACCCCGATAGAAATTCTTCAGCAAAAAGGGAAATGCAGAAGCAAACCAGTATGTAATGAAAGCCAAAAATCTTATTTAACCATGTTTGTCTCTCTTGTTTCTTCTGCAGGGCCAAATATTTCCAGGGGAAGAAGGTGAATGGAGAATTTGATATCCGAGTGGAACAGGTCAGTGACAAGTGAATTTCTCTCTCAGGAATGTGTGTGGACACAGCTAGGGAGATGTAATCTGTCCCAGGAACAGTCATGAGGTTCATAGCCTGTTTTTAATGTGCTGGGCACTGGACACATTCTGTTTCCCTGTTAGCCTTGGCACCAGACATTCATTTCAGCTGAAGCCTCTTCGTGTTGGGGTCTGTCCCCTGCTCTGTGTGCTGGTGCAGTGTCCGTCAAAAAAAAGTCCCATATTGACTGAGACTGGGTGCTGTTGCCAAAAGAGAAATTATTATTATTAATAATCATCTTCTTCAGGCACCCAACTTGAAAGCAGACATAAGAAGAGAGAGATGTAGAGATAAGATGGTGATCCTGAGGGAATCATATGCTTCTTTTATATTCATTAGGACTGTAAAAGTGTTTGGGTGGATAAAGAAAGCTGCTGAATGTTGTTTGAATGACCTGATATTTTCTGTTTTTATAAGGCTCTTGATTCTGCATTGTGTGCATGTACAGATTATTAATGTAGTGGGTTTTAAGACTTTCTCAGGACCCATTGCCCTTGAAAAGGTGTTTCTTCTCTTTTCAAAGGAGTCTTGTCCTATTGTCTATGACTGTTCATGAGCACACATGGTCTGATCAAACTGTGTCTGGGACAGATTTTTCTTTTTTTTGATATCATACACATGTCAGTCTGGGTGTTATTAGCAAGAATAATTATTCATGGCATTTCTTTATCAAAGTCTTTATTTTGTTGGCTGCCTTAGCAATTATCCTAAAAGAGAATAGGAAAAATTAAAAAATTTAAAAATCTACTACTCACTTAGAAGCATGAAAAAAAATGGTTTCGGTTTTTCCTCCAAGCCTCTGATCCAACCCTCTCCATCACTCAAAGCAGGTTCAGCTTCAAAGGCTGACCTGGTACTCTTCAAAACAGCCTGTTAATTCTTTCCTAAACCTGCAGTCTCTGCTTTTCCTCTCATAATCCTTCTCCTCAAATGTTATTGCACTTGAGGTCCTTATAAAGTAGCTGCCTTCAAATGGTTGGTGAGTGCAGAAGGTCAGAAGTGGACTCTGATCCCTGCTGGGGGATCAAGCTGTGACCCTTGTCATAAGGTAGCTGCTCACATTTCCCCACTGAGTCTGGTAGGGAGGCTTTCCCAGTTCACCTCTTGAAATCCTTCACGTAGGCTGAACACCTGTGTTCTAGATGAGGCAACAGATTGCTGCAAGCAAAGACCATAATGCAATTTCACTGGTGAGCACCATGGCCAGGCCCCTGCAGCTTTCATTAAATGCCCACACAATGACTGCAGCATTGCCCAAGGGAATGAAGCCCCCAGTGGGTAGGAGAGTTGAGGAATGGAAAACAAGGATCCTGGCTGTTTCCACTTTTCCCCTCCCTGCCACTCACGTGAGGCAGCCCAGCCTCCATTTAGTGGGCAGGGAGCTGCTCTTGGCTCCTCCAGACCTCAGAAGGAGAAGGGATGATGACTTTTCCCATCTGGATCACTGTCTCTCCAAGGAAACACAGAAGCTGCATTGTCAAGGGCAGTCCTTGAATCTGACCCCAGGCCTCTCATGTGTATTGTTAAGGTCAAGAGAGAAGCACTGCTTCCTTCAAACTCTGGCTTCTTATTTTGTCCATCCATCCTTGCTCAGTATTTCTTGATATTTAATTTTCATTCATTGCTCCTACCCTATTTATTTGGAGCGTTCCTAACTTCTTCACCTCATCCTCAAGCAGTCCAGAAGCCTAAACTGTTGTGGGAGCAGATCCCCTGAAGCTGAATGCTGACCTTCTCTACCTGAAAAATTAAAATTCTTCCATAATTTTCTTATGAAAGAGGGGGAAAAAAAGTGAGTAACTATGTTCATCAGCATGGTCCACATCTTTCTCTGTGAGTTCCCATCTTACCGGTCTTCAGTCCTATAACTCTCCCCTGAATGGCACAGACTATGCCATGGTGCACAAGCCTTAACAGCCAGGCTGTTCAGTTCTGAATAAACTCTCCATCAGAGAGTTTGAACCATTTGGTCTGCTCAGTAAGTTCATTTAGTTTTTCATTTTTCCATTTGATCCTGTTTCAGATAACCACACGTTATTAACTCAGCCAGAAATACAGTTTGCCTTAGGAAACTTTTTTTATATTTTATAGGAGAAAAACCACTTTTGATCTGAAAAGCTAAATAACAAAGAAGTTTGAATGGCAGAAAGCATGAAAGGAAATATCCAAATGTTAAATTCTCTTGAAAAACCACACTGGGAAAAAGCCATTGCCTTATTTTTACTGACCATGCTAACTCTTTTGCCATTCTTCCAGGATGTTCAGTAGTTGGTTTGAACTTTTTCTCCTCCTCTTTCATTTCCATATCTGTTACATCTTAATTCTTTCTAAGCATGCCAGTTTAGCGATCTGAGGGGGAAGTAGAACAGGATAGTAGGTGATATTTTTTTGAAAGTCGCTATATCATTTATTTGTAAAGGAGCAGGAGTGCTGAAAGCAGCAGTGTCTCTCCCTGTCTCAGCAGCGGGAAGTCAGCTATCTAATCTGGTTGTACACCCCTGCCAGCTCTCCAGGCTGTCCCCTCTCCTCTGAGGAATGCAGGAAATATGTGACCATGCTGTCCCGCTCTGTCTGTCCCCACACCCAGCTCTGGCTCACTTCAGCTGAATTTGAGAAACAGGCAGAAGTTTCAAGATATGAAATTTCTGCACCAGGTGAATCCAGTTCATATTAGACACTGGGTAATGCACAGGAGAGAGACTGTTCAATGCCATCCTGCTGCTCAGGGAGCTGCTTCTGCAAGCCTCAGCTTGTATGAAAATAAGTTTTATGGACTCTCAAATAAGGTTTTCTGGTTCTTTCGCACTGAGTTGATTGCATGACCTTGATAGCAGCCCCAGGCCCTAGTTCTTCATACCAATTATCCCCAGGAAAAGACAGGAGTTACTGTGGGCATCACCTGGTGCCAGTGGATGAGAGTAGAGCTGGCAGGGACACTGTGATGTGTACACCACTCTCCTGTCATTCATTAAAACGAATGTGAAGCCTGACTTTGTTTCCACCTTTGTTTCTTCTCTTCTGATCTTCAGTGTAACACTGAAACCATAATTATGATGTGCTTTAAAGGCTGCAGGATTTATTATTGTCCACCATTTAGTGAAAGCAGGCATGCAGTGCCATTGCCTTCTTCCTGCTGGCTGCAGGGAGAGAGGTGAAAGGCTTTGGTGGTGTAAAGCCAGTCCACCCTCCTGAGTCATGGCCCTTTTTCTCTGGAGGCAGTTTGGATTACATTTTGCTTATCTGGGTATTTTTCCACTTCTGTAGCAACAATAGTTATTCATGAGACTGATTGAAACCCTGATCCAAAAGTTAAAATCTATTTGACCTATTCTGATTAAAACCCTGATGGTTTAAGTTTTACTCAGTGTGAGTAAATCTCTAAGCTTTAAGAGAACAGCTGAATCTAAAAATACTATCTCTATTTTTTGCTAAAAATAAGCTGCTTAGATTTTGATCCATGTTGTTGCTTTTACTTCCTTGGTGATTTCTAGCTTTCAGAACTGCAGTGTATGCATCTCTAGTTCTTTTGTCTAGAAATACAAATACTAAAAAAAGTTCTTTTAGAAATGAAAAGCATAAGTTTGAATAAATGGCTCCAAGGCTAAGTTGAACTTAAAGAAGAATCTTAAAGTGCCAGGGGAGTGGACCACATTGCTTTTAGTCTCTCACAAAAACAATTTTGCTTTTATCTCCTCAGTTCTTCATTGGCCAGAGGACAGGAGGCGTTAGGAGCCACTGAGGAATGTGTATATATATATATATGTATTCAGTATATTGAGGAAGAGGAGGAATTATACCATAGGCCTTATGCTTTGTCAGATGTTTTCCTTCATTAGAGAGAAACTAATTCAGCACCTCCTTCCCCACCCTCTCTGTCCAGTCCCAGAGGAAAGTAAGCCTTGTGTGCTCTAAGGATTTCTGGGGTTTTCCATTTGGATTATGACACACCTTGTGTGGGGCCTCCTTGGGCATTAGACATGTCCCACGTCCCAGGGGAATGCCTCGTGGCCATACATCCCCAGCACACCCACAGA